CTCTCTCTCTCTCTCTCTAAGATAGAAGACAATTACACTGATGCACCACAACGCGATGTACAGTAGCGAATAAGTTTTATTTTGAAAAATATTTTAAAATTTGTGCCATGCCTGTTCGGTTTTGTTGTTGGTTTTTTTCCCCCCCTTTTCTTTCACACTCGGTTTTGTGTGCCCATCTCTTTTATTCTGTTTCATAATTTAAGGGCCTATCCATTTACTGCGCTTCCGTGCTTGTTGCAAGATTTAAAAAAAAAAAAAAGAAGATATTTCATACATCTACATCTTGATCCATGTGTATGACTGTATGTGTGTGCCCGCTCAAAAAACAAACAAACTACTACGACAAATAGACGAACTGACAATTCGACACCGTGGAGACGGGTTGAATTAGGCCTATTATATTTTTGCCAGTTTGCAGTGGGTAAAACAAGCACAAGTCATGCTTGTCGGCGACGCCGTTTCATTGAAATTTATTTCAAAGATAAGGACAGCTCAGGGGTGGGCGGGTATTCAGTAGCGCACGGACTGCATTGCCTGCGTTCCTAGATCGTGAGTGTCTGGCTCTGTAGCCATCGATTTTGCTCTTGGAGCGCTCTGTTTCTGTTGACGGTTCGGTGGTTGAGGTTTAATCTATTTTTATCCTGCTACTTCAATGTTAATTTTGAGGAATACCATCTGGCGAGCAACCAATAGACGGGTAGGAAATAATATGCGGGGGTTTCTGCAGACGGGTTTATTTTTGAAGAGGCATGGCGGGAAAGATAGAGACTTTATTTCGGAAGTTATTTCCCCTGGTTCGACACGAGTTAGCTTTGTTTATTGTTAATCCTACTTGTTGTGTAACCTAAAGAATAAAGCGATTTTGTTTGTTTGTCTCAGTCAGCCTGTCAACTTGCTAACTGCAAACGTGTGACCTATGGTATGTATAAGAAAGACTTCGGTAAACAATATAGATCTAGACCTAGATTCTAGACTCTAGTCGATAAATTTGTTCTCTTTGATGCATCTGTGTAGGAGGATTGTGTTGGTGTGTACTCGCAGTTTGTGAGATCCAGGCAGTTCGTTGACCTAGCGGGAGCTGAGCTTTGTTCTGATCTGAATTTCTTCCTGTGGTGTTTGCTTCTGATGATACGCCCCTTGCCTTCGTCCACTCACTGGTTTCCGGGAGGGGAGTTTGGGGCGGGTGGGGGGGCGGGGGGGGGGGGGTGGGGGGTGAGACTTGTAGTCCCACTTTCTGATATTTGAACAGCGCATTGGATATCATCAGTGCTTTAACTTACTCTTAGTAGATTATAGATCTAGTCAAGAAGACTATCAACAGGAAGGGATGGGGAGTACCGTAGGCCTACGTAGGCTAGGCTGTATATGTCAATGTCTGTTCCAGACCTGACAATATTGATGAAGAAAAATGTAGCAGTGCTACCGCTTGGGATTTATGGCCTTCTGTGGTTATTTAAGGGGCGGGACCGCTAGGTTCAATTAACTACATCTCCCATAAGACCATGCCCGGTTGGTGGAGAGAGTCGTTGAAGAGTGTTAGGTGTACCCTATAGCCTACATTCCAAGTTATTGTTAATGAATAGGCTATGGTCTGAATCAGGGTCGTCCATACCATACTGCCCCAGCTGTCGTGTATCAGTACACCCGCTCAATGATTTATTTTGGTTCATCTTGAAATGTGTCTTGTCTAATTGCCTTTGAAAAGACCCTTCATTTATTTTGTTTTTGTGGCTCGTGAGATTCATTCCAAAAGAGTTGTCAAAGACAAGAGGTTAATTTCGAGGGCCGCCAAGTAAACTATGGTAAGTCATGTTTTTCAAATTTTACAGGAGAGACATAAAAAAAAAAAAGGATTTTCTTGAAGCGTTTTGGGTGGATAAACTTCATTTTCTAAAGGGAGCCTACCCGTTTTTTGTCTCTCTTGTAAAATTTGAAAAACATGACTTACCATAGTTTACTTGACGGCCCTCGATTTATGATGCCAGTATGGTACTGCTATGATCTGTCTGTCTGTCTCTCTCTCTCTCTCTCTCCCACTTCCTCCCTCCCCATCTCTCTTTCTCCTTGTCTATCTATCTCTATCTGTCTGTTTATCTAACTACCTCCCTACCTACCCCCCTCCCTTCTCTTCTTTATCTGTCTCTTTTTCTCTCCTCTCTTCTTTCTGTCTTTTGTTCTCTAATTCTCTGCCTTACTATCTCTCTCCCTCCCTTTCTCTCTCTCTCTCTCTCTCAGGGTTGGTGATTTTTTTGATTTTTGAAATAAAAATTTAAAAAATCGATTTTTTAAATTTAAATCGGATTTTTTTGATTTTTAAAAAAATGTCGACACAGTTTGGGATTTTTGGTGGCTAAAAGTATGTTCTTTTAGTACAGAATGCATTGTCTTTATTTTAACTAATGATTAATATAAGCAACTGCAAAAGAAAGCCTTAATCTGCTATTATCAGTGAATTATGGCTACAGACAAAAATAAAGAAAATGTCAGTCTAAAAGGAAAGGGGGGGAGGAGGTAAATGCATAGATAAACTTGTATTTTATTAGTGTGCGTGTGTGTGTGCGCGCGCTTGTGTTTGTCTAAAAAGAAGAAAAAAATGCTAATTTCAATTATGAAAAAAAAGTAAATTGAATACTGTATTAATTTACTACTTACAGTGACAGGGGGGAAAGCAGACTTTTAAGCATGATTATATTAGTCTACTAAACCTTATATCTGTTTTATAAAACCAAGGAAAGGAATTCTGAATGTTTAAAGACGTAAAAACAATACATTTTTAAAAAGTGATTTAAATCACTGAGGTTTATTTTTAAAATCAAGTTGATTTAATTTTTTTTAAATCAACTGATTTAAATCGACCTGATTTAAATCAACCCAACCCTGGTTTTCAATTATGAAAAGAAAGAAAATTGAATACTGTATTATTTTACAGACTTTTAAGTATGATTATATTAGTCTACTAAACCTTATATCTGTTAAATAAAACCAAGGAAAGGAATTCTGAATGTTTAAATATGTAAAAAAAGAATACATTTTTTAAAAAGTGATTTAAATCACAAAATCAAGTTGATTAAAATTTAAAAAATCAACTGATTTAAATCAACCCAGCTCTGATTTCAATTATGGGGAAAAAAGTAAATTGAATACTGTATTATTTTACAGTGAAAGGGGGGAAAGCAGACTTTTAAGCATGATTATATTAGTGTACTAAACCTTATATCTGTTTTATGAAACCTAGGAAAGGAATTCTGAATGTTGAAATATGTAAAAACTGAATAAAAATTAAAAATTTTAAAAGTGATTTAAATCACTGATTTTTATTTAAAAAATCAAGTTGATTTAAATTTAAAAAATCAAGTGATTTAAATCAACCTGATTTAAATCAACCCAACCCTGCTCTCTCTCTCTCTACCTCTCTCTCAATCTCTTTCTTTCTCGTCCATTTTCCTCCTTCTATTGGCACTAGGTTAATGAACATTTATAAAGTGAGTGCCAAGATTGGAAAGTTGTTTCTACTTCTAATTCCGTGTTAATGTTGTCCTTTTAGCTAGTTATCAATGAAAGTGCCGATGTGGTCTGCTTCTTCCACATCTTCTTATAAGATCCTAATCTGCTTCCAGGCATGCTGGTAAAATAGGGCTTTTTCTTTTTGTCAAACTGCAAGTTAAACCTGTTTGTGTGTGGGTGTGGGCTCAGGTGCATATTTCAGAAGCAACACAAGAGGGAAGGTTTCTTTTACCTCTTTCACAAGCCTAAATCATACTGAATGTGCATACACAGTGTCAAATCAATGGTGGTTGTCTAAAGTATATAATAGTATAGATTGAGTTTTCCCTCGTCTCTCTCAGCTTTGCAATATTGATCTTCAAGAGATTTGAATCAGTAAAACAAAAGTACAAAAAAAACACATTTGTTTTCAGTTGTATTTTTTGTCGAAGATTACTTTTAACAGCTGGTTTTTAAAACTTTGGTCATGTTCTGTATTAATCATTGATTCTTTTTTTTTCACTTTTTATTTTGCAGGAGAACCTTTTGTATTGCTGTCAATGAGGTGAAAGTGAGAACAGATTTGTACCATGGAGATAGACTTAGCACCAGAACCGCCCTCGGAGGGTGTGGCAGACTTGACTTTGGGTTCACAAGTTCGTTGCCGAAAGTACCAAGTGCAAACCCTTCTCTCGTTATTTGGACAAGTAAGTTAAAGTGTGCTTTGAAGCACATTTGAAAAGAGTTTGCACTGAGCATGACTTGTTGAAGCAGAAATCCAGTCATTCAGTGAGGTCATTTCTCTTCGAACTCTGTTGAGAAATTCCTGCTCTCTATGTTGTTGTTTTTTAAAGATGGTTACCTAAGTGTTCAAGTGGATTTGTTTTTGTCACTGTGCCTGCTCCGCTGTTTCCCATGTTGTGAGGACCTTTGTCTAGTTAGAAGGGAATTGGAGATACTACACGATATTGTTCCTGCTTCATGTACAGGCTTAGACTGCCAGTCAACCCTCTCTTAGCGTGCATTTTCTCATTGGAATCAGTTAAAAATTTAAAGTTTTGTTGGAGAGTGGATGGTTGGCAGGTTCTCAGTTGTGGTTTCTCTTTCCTATCAAACATCTATCGTCTTTATCTCCCCTCCTTTTTTATGTTTGTTACTCTCTTATAACACCTCTAATCTTCAGCGCTTATATGACCTTATTGTGAGTTGCAAGTGCCGTAACACTCTTACTAAAACTAAAAGTTTTGTTGAGAAATTATGACTCTAGAGTTACCCATGGACCTGAGACAATTTTCTTATTGCAGAGGCAGCACATGACCCCAGGTGCTCTGTTTGTGTACGGTCACACAGCGACGGGCAAGTCTCTGGTGGTTCAGACTCTACTTTCTTATCATAAAGTAAGTAACTCATCATAAAGTAAGTAACTCATCATAAAGTAAGTAACTTATCATAAAGTAAGTAACTCATCATAAAGTAAGTAGAAGCCTGAGCTGCAATGTTCAGCTTTGATTTCAGGCTTAGAAGATGTGCTTGAATTTGAAAACTAGTGTCTTTGTTTTGTTTTTTTAATTTATCTCTTTCTCAGTGAATTGAGCTGGATTCACAATCGTATTTTCTATGGCTCTGATTCATGAATTTAAGTTTCATGTTCTGTTCTGAGAAAAGGGTATTCTTTTAACATGTGGTATCTTTCTTGTCATTATAATCTCAAGTTTCTGAATCTATGTTTTTCAAATGTTTTTTTGTTCATTAGTATTTGTACTGACAAAAAAAGTCAAATACACTTACAACTACCCTCTTTTGTTTTGGGTGGGTTTTTAAAAAAAAGTAGATGTCATGTACACTGGTTTTAACTCAAGAAGAGTTTTGGAGTTAAAAATAATCATTAAAAAATCAAATGTGCTTTGTATACACTGTACAGCTATTGCTCCAAGCTTCACCTGGTCTGACTATGTTATCTTTGGTAATAGTGTTTGTCAGTTTAAAATGAATATTGTAAGGCTTTTATCCCTTATGCACATTTTTAGTAGCGTCTTGATTCACATGTTGATGGATTGGTGCACACAGGCCATTATGTCCCCTTGATCATTGTGTCTGCTGTTTTGGTGCAGTTTGTTGAGATCTTTACTATTACTGGGAAGTTAAGAGTTTGAGACTGAGTTTGGTCTCAATTTTTCTGTTCCATTCTGAATTTTTTGTACAAGACAAGATTTTTGTTATGAAATGAGTGCCCTGCTGTTAAAATGACAAGTTTTGTGTCTCTCTTGGTTGTAGGTTTCTTTAAAGACAAGTATTTCTTGTTTCATTGAAATGTGATCTACCAACAATTTCAGCTCCCTCATATCCTGATCAACTGTGTTGAGTGTTCAAGCCCAAGGGTCCTGTTTGAGCACATACTCAACAATATACCGCAAAACCCTGATGCGGATATCCCAGACTGTGATGATGATGATGAGGAGGAATATATACAGTGTGATGATATGACTAGTTTTGTGAGGCAGCTGACCAATATCGTGTCTGAAAAGCCCTTTGGAGAACAAACCTTGTACATTGTACGTATTCTGCTGTTGATCATGAATTGTGTTTTTTTTTAGAACCACAGTCCCTGGCCTTCCTATTTAGAAATGATCGGGCTTTGGCTTTTAGATTAGGTTAAGAAAAATATATGCTTGGCATAAGAGCTTTGACATATGATTCTGTCGCTTTTTTTCACTGGTATGGTTTTGCGGTTTGTTGACAGACCCATGGATAATTAGTCTATTTTCTGATCTTGATATTCTATAAATACTGGTTTTGCAGCTGTGAATCATTCCCATGAATGTCTTGTATCAAGGGATTTAAAATATGCTTTGGTAGTTAATTAACACTGACTTATTTTTGTGCAGTGTTGACCAACCCTTGCAAAAATTTTCTTATGGTCTTGATATTTTATCAACTTTTTTATCTCCGAGGGGGGTAAACGATAACCCACCATGCCGGAGCCCACTTTTGGTTTGAAATCTGAAATTGACATAAATGTCACTAAATTGGTAATTAAATCAAAACATGTGAACCTATTTCAAGGCAATTGCTGAAAAGTAATTTGACGTTAAAGTCATCCTTAAGGAATATACCTGAGCCGCCTGTCAATGGCTGACCTGTACTCATCCCCCCCGCCAGGACAGTGCTACTGACTGAAGTTGTCTTTAGGCCATTCTCAAAGGGGGGATATTAACATGTTCTTATGCACAGTAGAATTGTAAATGGGCTGGATTTATCAATGTCATGCTCACACTGTGCCGGAACATCATAGGGGGAGCTGCTGCTTTTTCTTTCCTCATCCTTACTAGCATCATTTTTTCCTCTACTTCTTTTGTATGTTTGTCACTCTATGAACTGCTATTTCCGGGGTAGACTTTGTGCTGTTGAGGCTAAAGAGGTGAGCAGAGTAAGCCTGATATCCCGTTTGGACTTCCCTGTTGACATCCACCTCTTGACGCTCATATGACCGTATGCAGTTGCAAGCGCCATAAAACCTTACTAAAACTAACTAATCTATCCTCAGTTCTTGATATTCTTGTACTCATTGAAAGTGTAATTGGGTTCATAGTATCGTTGCTCCTGTTAAATGCTTTGCAAATGCTGTAAAACTGATTTGGAGTGATATAGTCATTAGGCCTATTCTATTCTGAAGGTTCTTTGGAAAAGACAAAGAATAATCTGTGTTTTTTGTTGCTTTCTCTTCAAGGTATTAGACAAAGCCGAGCGACTGCGAGACTCTCACATCTTTATGTTACCTGCTTTACTTCGTCTTCAGGAACTGGTCAGTGTGTTTTGAGTGCCATATTTTAATTAACAACACCCCCCCCCCCACACACACACACACACACACACACACACACACACACACACACACACACACACACACACACACACACACACAGACACTCACAACTGTGCACTTCCTGCTCTGCTTTCCTGAGTGTTCTTGTCCCTTTATCAGGTATTAATCTTTTTAGAAGATCAGTGTTGGAGGGCTATGCTTTGATCTTGGTCTGTAGTGTATAGATCTGGATGGTAGCGTTCTTTGACAGTCATAGTTATATTGTGAATGCTTTCGTAGTTGAAAATTATGTGTAAAAAAAGACCTTAAAGGCAGTTTGAAGGTTTGTCTGGTATAGGCTTAGCTCTGTATGATTTAGTAACCTACTCGTATAAATCAGAATATCAAAAGTTGTTTGGTAAAGATTTTCTCATTAATTTAAGCATGAGTAAATAAAGCACAGGCTGTAGAGACATGAATAACTGTTTCCAATTTGAACCAAAATATTTGTTGTAAACAATGGTTTGCTCAATGTTGCTTAACATGGCCATGATCACAACCCCCCCCCGGCCATTTGTAAAAGTCCCTAAACTCATTCGTAGTCTTTGTTTTATCTTTTTGGTTTGTAGATAGATAGTATCTTAAAATATATTTCTCTTTGCAGACTGGTCTCAACATCTGCACCATTTTGATCTCCGAAATTGTATGGGAGAAATTCCGATTCGGGACAGGATTCAACGAGCCATATTGTTTACACTTCCCAGACTACAGTCGGCGTAGGTGCTTTAATGTAGTCTTAAATTCTTGACCATTTGTCAATACTCTCCCATTGAAAAATTGTGTATAGTTCTTTATTATAATAAGTCAACTTAGTTGTTGTGTTTCCCAAGCTTTCTCACGGAAATGTTTATAAGGTTACAAGGTTGATACTGTAAATTATTCTTGGTTTTTCTCCTCTTTTAGAAAGCATACTTGTACCTGGTGATTTGTGCAGAAATCTGTGAGTTAAACTTGTTCACAAAATGTTAAAAGGGGAGCTACTGTTTTGGTCACATGACACTAAGTACTCTCAAGCTATGGAATCGCCAAACTTTGGCGGCCATTTCAGCGCTATTTTACCACTGAAACCAAGCTACCCCCACTTTCTTCAATTGTGAATATCTCAACTTATATTCAAGATAGATGGGTATTTTTATCATCGAAAGCAAGGAAAATGAACATGCTTTAACTCTTTAACCATGTCTGGACGGTGGCAGCGTCCGGCAGTCAAGGTCCGTAACCATGGCTGAACGGTTCCACAGTCCGATGGGAAGTTATTATTGTATTATGGTACGGAATTAATATAAAAAAGTATGAGCTAATAAGCCTTCAGTTTGACCCGGAAGTCAAAGATAAATGAATTCAACATCTGGGTAATGCTGTATTGATCAGTTTGACATGAAATAAGCGGGTTTAAAAACATAATATGGCGGGTCGCATTTCCACAGACACAAGAGAATTACGTGGAAACGTGATTTTAAATTGCACGGTTTAAGAGTTAAGATGATATCAATAACTCCACATGATGCCCAAAAATTGACAAGTACCTGATTTCACCTCGTCGTGACACATATTTTGGATTTTTTTGAGTGTCCTGAGTTCGTGATCTTTTTTACAACGTTTTACATCCAATTTCGTGGTCATAAAAACTAGGAATGTCTCAACTTCTTCCCATCCCCAATATATTGTGGTTCTACACAATAGCATATGTTTAGCAAGTGTTGCACGATTTCAACTGTATACTCATCATTTCTGTCTCTTATATTTTTAAGATGAACTAATGGAAATCATGTGCCTGGATTCTCCGTCTACATGTGACAAAGAGTTGTATTCAATGTACATCAACATCGTCCTGTCAGTTTTCCACATGGTCTGCAGAGACCTCAGAGAACTGCGACATCTCGTAAGATCCTTTTCATTCTTTTAAAATGTACATGTTTTTACGATCCCATCGACCCATTTTAGATCTCATTTAGGAGGCGGGCTTCTTACCCTGCCTGTCGGAGCAAAACCGGGCTGAGAAGAGCGCAACATCGCAGTAGAAAGATTGATATACTGGATAAAAGTTTCTGCCCTTTGGGGAATCGACCTTGGGTCTCCTGCGTGCAACAGCAAAGCGCTTAATCACTACAACTACACCTCAGCCGCTCGTTAAGATCTATTAGCTGTGTTGATCACTTTTTTATTCTCAAATTTGGGTCCCTGGGTCAGGAAGGAAAGATCTACTCGAAACTGACAGATAGACTCGATATTTCATACTTTACAAACAAATGTTTCACTATTTGGGGACTATTTACGTAGAGATGTTTACAGTCGCCATTACGCTAACCGACCATATGCAAAAATTGAGGCATCATTATTTTTTTTTCCCACTGACTTCTACTTGATTGTGATTTTATTTATATACATCCTTTTTGCAGAAACATTGGTGTCTTTTCCCTCTTTATTTTTATTTTTTAAAGTGGGATTGTAATTAATGACATTGTTGCTGTTTTGTCAATATAACCAGACAACAGATCAGTGCAATAGGAGTGTTTTACACTGGAGTTTAATGAAAGATAAATATTTTGAAGGGATCTCTGACATCCAGCTTGCTTTTTTTTGTTTGTTTGTGTTTGTTAACAAGGTTTACCTTTTTTTATGTGATGCCTCTTGTTTTGAGATGTGACCTATTTTTGTTTTATAAAGCTCTTTCTCTTAGTAAGAAAAAATCTCACAGATTAAAGAGGAATCATCTGATTATGTGTAAAACAAGGAAGTTAAAGTAAAAAAGATGTTGAGAGGAATCCAAGGTGCAGCGTCTATTGACATGAAGGCTGGAGTGGCTTAAAGATAGTAAGACAAATAAAAATGTGGTGTAACTTTTACTGATTTATCTTGATGTTGTCACTGTCTGATTTGTTAACTCTTTATTTGCAAGGAGGGAGGTAAACCCACTATGCCTGGGCCTTCTTTTGGTATGAAATCTGAAAGTGACATAAGTTACTAAATTATTGATCATTAAATCAAAACACATGAGAACCTATTTTGATAGTTCTTCATCAAATGCATGAAATCCCAGTTAAAAAAATACCTGTTTTCAGGAACTGCTAAAAAGTAATTATGTCAAAAGTCATTGTCAAGGAATGTGCTCAAGCCGCTGCCAGCAGCTCACTGGCACAGCGTTTCCGACCGCGAGTGCGGGAGCGGTTTGACGGAGATAAGGAGTAATCCTATTTTTTTTATTCTTCTGCACATCGTTTCAGGCAAAATTGAATTTTCCATACTTCATAGAACCTGTTCTGAGCGGGGAAGGTAAGTTCTTGTCTAGCACAGTTGTGTGTTAAGTATTGAGTGCTCCAATGTGCTTTTCCTCCTCCTCCTCCTCCTCCTCCTCCTCCTCCTCCTCCTCCTCCTCCTCCTCCTCCTCCTCCTCCTCCTCCTCCTCTTCCTACTCATACTCTTCCTACTCCTCCTCCGCCTCCTCTTCCTTCATCTTCTTCATTTGCAACTGGCAAATTGTGCCTGTTACTATGTTTACAAGCTGCACGCTTCAACTCCACTACGTCCTGTCCAGTACTTTGTTTCTGCTTAGCTTAGAAAAGTTAGTACAACTCTTTCCCAGAGTTCAGGTTTAACACTGACCCCCCCAAAAATGGTCTAAAATTAATTCTTGTATGGTATGATTCTTATATTGTCTGTGTTCATGTGATATTGTGTCATATGTGACAAATGTGGTTGGCGGGTGCTCTGGTGTAGTTTGCTCTTTCTTTCCTATCAAACATCTATCATCCTTATCTCTCCTCCTTCTGTTTTGTGTTTATTACTCTCTTGTAACTCTTCTAATCGTCGGCACTTATATGACCTTATTGTGTTGCCAGTGCCGTAAAATTCTTTCCAAAACTAAAATGTGTTTGGCACATCCGAGTTTGAGAATAGAAATAACGTAGTCATATTGATCATGTGATTGCTTCATGACACAAACCTCAAAGACATAGAGAAATTGTTCCTTGTTGTATTGTTTTATATTTTTTCTTAAACGATGTATAATTTCTTCATAACGTAGACTTACCCATTCCCATAAATATTGCATTAAGAAGATTTTTACAATTTAAGGTATTATCTTCCTGTACTGGTTTTTGTCATTCTATCATTATTGAAAAGCTTTTATTCAGACTTTTCTGTTGTATTACTACTTAACTTTCTGCATGCACATCAGATCATTGTACCCAGACCAATGAAATTCCCATCGAATCCTTTAGATTTATCGTGTGATTTTCCTTTTTCCAGCGGATGCTACTCAGACAAGGAAGCTTTGGCGGAACATTGAACCACACCTTAAAAAAGCTTTAAAAAGTGTCTACTTGAGGGAGGTGTCCAGGTGAGAATCTCTTTTTAAAAAATCTTCTTTGTTATTATATTTTATAATATTATTTTAATCATTATTATAATCATTATTATTAATATTTTGTTCTCTTTCATGGATTTAGGTGCTGTTTGTGTAAAACTCGAGGCATGTACATATTACAGGTTTATGATGAAAGAACATGTACCATTTTGAATTTGAGGCTGATGACGAACACTGATCTATAAGGCCACACACAAACACACATGCATGCACACACACAAACACACACACACATAACACACACATACACACAACAAACACACACATACATACACACACACACACACTCATGTTTTTAAATTAGAACTTGAGGCTTGAGGTCAGAAAGGCTCTGAAAAACCTATGTAGTCTGTCAGAATGAAACGATGACATCACTTCAAAATGTTAATTCTATCCCATTTGCTTTCCATATTAAATACATTTTTTTAGTACATTCAAACCCCTTGCTCTAGTGGCCACCTGTCCAAGACAAGCGCCTGTACAAATGACCACATCCCATTTCCTGTGTTTGTTTTTTTAAATATTAGAGTGATACTGTCAAAGACACCCATCTTCAAAGACAATCACTTTTTTCCTTGGCAGTAAGTGGCTGTCTTGGACAATTATGACTATATTTGTATAATGCAGCCCAGAATGGATTATTTAAGCCATGTTTATGTTCATAAAATCTTTGAAGTGTAGGAAGTCTATCTTGTTTTGAGATAGACACAATTTGTGTGCTCAGTTTGTCAGCTGTGACTTCACTTGAAAGCAGATCACATTTTATTGCTATGCCACTTTTCATTTTACTTCTTCAGTCAGCAGTGGGAGAAAATGCAGCAGGCTGAGCTGGAAAACCCTGATCTGGAACAGACTCTAAGTAAGTTACTGAAGTGTTGTGTTGGGGTTAGTGATGTAGTATAATTGCTATTGTAACTACAGTCAAACCTGTGTAAGACGGCCACCCATTGTCAAGGAGAAAAGTGGCCGTATAAGACAGGTGGCCGTCTTAGGCAGGACTGATCAAGATAAAGAAAACAAACCATTCCCATCTGAGGCCCCAATCGAAAGAAGCCCCATTATGTTGTCTTTGTTGGTGTTGTTGTTGGTTTGTATTTCGTTTGTAATTTTTATTTTGTCGCTGATTTTGCACAAGGGTGACAATAAAACGAAATGTATAAGACAAGGTAGACCGAGTGCCATGTTAAAGCTAACACACGGGTCGCCACCACTCCGAGAACGAGCGATGCTTCTGTAACAAGTTCATGTTGATGTCCTTTGTTACTTTGTTACAGACTGGGTAAACAGTGACCACTCATCTCACTTACGATTTGTGTATGAGTTCTGGGCGGGGCTTATGGGTTATGAGGGATCACACACTTACCTCACCAGCAGCTGAAAATTGGTAGCTATTGGTCAACAGTGGGAGGGGCCTACGCAACATGATCGGTTGGAGGGACTACCTAACAACAACGACAGGTGATTGAATTATGACGGCTCGCCCACAACGCCAGGGGCCAATGCACAATTTATGACAAAACGTAATGGAGTCACTAAGGTGACCGTCTTAGACAGGTATTATTGCTTAGTATTATAGGGGTTGTGTGTTAAATTATTGTGGCCGCGGCCGCGTTGGACAGGTGCCCGTTTTACACAGTTAGAGCTAAATTATATAGAAAAAACGCAAGGGGGGAAATGGAAAGTGGCCGTTTGTACAGGTGGCCGTCTTATAGAGGTGACCATCAGGGCAGGTTCGACTGTACTTCCATTTTATTTTTTATGATTTTACTTCCACTGTAGCTTCTCACTCGGCAACTTAAAAAAAATGTTTCTGTTATTTCCATTGTTTTTAACTGAAGCCTAAATCCTCAGCATTTGTTTTCTGTTTAACTCCAAATTAGTTGTGTCTTTTAATTGTCTTTTTATGTGCGACTCCAACTTTGTAAATTTTCAATTATTTTCACAAAATTGCTGTGGCATCCCTGCTCCAAGATAACCTCTGACAGTTTCTGTCTGTCAGTGTTTTGATTCTTGAATATATCATGAGACATAACATTACTGGGGCAGTGTCATTCCTTTATTCTTTTGTTTCTCCGTGTCCGAGACAAAGTTTTAATGTAACTCAGAAATCAGTAGGGTTTTTTTTACATTGAAATGAAGAAAAATTACAAAATTCACATGCTTAGAAACTAAAAAATGTCTGAATTTTTTCAATAGGTGATTATTTTGTCGCTTTATGAAGAAAAGGATTTATTGCCCAAATATGAGTTTTCAAGAAGTTGTTTGAAAGTCAGCACTTCATTTTAGTTTTCTTTTTATCAAGTTTGAACAATGTAGAGACATCATCTGTGCCTGTGTTTTTGGATGAGATGTAATTTTTGTTTTTCAGCTCCATCCCATAGATGCCAAGTAGAGCTACCATATTATTCCAAATTCCTGTTGATAGCTGCTTACCTGGCTTCATACAATCCCATGAAGTATGATCGCAGGTTTTTTGCCAAAGTGAGTTACGGTGTCATGTGATATCAGCATGTTCTTTCGTCACATTTTGCATGGCTTTTAGTAATTCAACCTGCACTGTGTTTTTTATTTATGACAGTGTTACTTTTGAGTTATTTATGATGTTCTGCTTGTCTATTCTTCCTGACAAGGGAACACCAGTTGTTTCTGATCCTTCAACTTTTTTTTATTTTCATGACTTATGGTGAAAAGATGGTTGAAGGGGGCCTCTGGAAAAAAACAGTTTGTTTTCTTTCTGACTGGTGTTTCTGCTTGTCTGTCTTGCCTATTCTCTGCATTAAATGTGGGTGGTTGGCGTGTGCTCTTGTGTGATTTGCTTCTTCTTTCCTATAAAAAATCTATCGTCTTTATCTCTCCTCCTTTTTTGTGTTTGTCACTCTCTTGTAACACCTCTAGTCTTCGGCACTTATATGACTTTATTGTGTTGCAAGTGCCGTAAAACTCTTACTAAAACTAAAGTGAGCTTCTCTTTCCTGAGACGAAACTTAAGGAGAGCTTCAGGGGTTCATTTTAACTCCCAGTTGGGGGGGGGGGGGGGGTCTTAATAGTGATAGTGCAATTTATGTTCGTAGCTGCCGTCCAGTACGTAAGAACATATTTAGCTTGTTTAGGGTCTTTTTTGTATTAGGAAAATATGTATTCTGTGTTTTCTAGTATCACTACTGGCGGACTTGCCAATGCTGAAGAAAAATTATGAACTCTCAGCACAGGATTTGCAAATAATAATGAGACCTTTTCAAAACATTTCTGACATTATTGTTGCAAATCTGCTTGGAATAGTTTGAATTATTGCATGCAGGAAAGTGTGTGTGAAGGGTTTGGAGGTGGGAAGCTCATCCAATTCCCACCGTCTTGACCCATCGCATATGTTGAGTCTCAGTCTCTTTTTTTTTTTATTTTGAAAAGTTGGCAGCTATGATAGTTATTTGAAGGGGCATTTGCTTTACCATTCTATGCTACTCGGTTGTCTTGAGGGAGAATTTGATCTGAATGGAAAAGTACGCTTAACATGCATATGTTGCTTTAGGACATCTTTGGGTCTCATCATGTTAATTCAGGTACTTTTCTGTATGAAATCTCCAACCTGAGATTCCTTTGGTGTTCTGCTCATAATACTCTGTGATGAAATTCTATAAAGTGAGAAAAAAAGTGTCAACTCTCTAGCACAAATTTCCTGTTTTTCATTTATTTTCAGAATGCAGGTAAAGTGTCCAAACGCTCCAAACTAGTGAAAAAAAATGAGCGGGTAAGTTGATGATAGGATTTTCAGTGTCATGTTCAAGAGGTCTTGTTGTGTGTCTTTAGATGAAATGAAGCCTTTCGCATTGTGTTTGTGTATCTGGTGACTTTTCCTTCATAACAAGCGGTATCCTGCTTGTGGTGTCATTTTTTCCTGCTGTGGCAACATTTCTTTATTTTGTGGGCTCATGTTCTGGCCCATTTGAAACAACTAGTACCTCTTGAATTGTTTTACCATATTGAAAGAAGTCTAAAACTCATTCCATACCATATTGTATCTAAATGTAAGCAGTGTTCGAGCATGTCTGATAGTTGATAGCTAAGTTCATGAATTAGCGGAAAAATTTAGTAAAAGTTAAAGGATTAAACAAAAAAGAAGAGCATTTCGATTTGTATGGCAATGGTTCTTTTGAATAGAGGGACTACTAAAATAATCCAGGTTTCGTATTTATACATGTTTTATTCTGTTGGAAAACAACTTGCTCTTACTTCTTTTTATTTTCACTCAGTTGACTGAGGTCTGTTCTTTATATCCTTTCCCCAGGCCAGCAACCATCTTTTAGGCCCCAAAGTATTCCCGATTGACAGACTCATGGCAATATTCTACTCTATTGTGGAGGGGAAAGTGGTCCCTTCTGCTCATATTTATGTACAGGTAAGAGTGACAGTGAAAGTGCTTTTGAGTGTCATGAGATTTTTTCCATGCATCTCTGGCATTTTGGAAATGTAGTACAATTCTGATAACATAAATTTCGCAAGTTTAGAGATTTTTTTTCCATTAATTCATTGACTGAGCTGTTGACGTATCTCATATATCTCAATAATCTGCCGTCCAGTGCTCTGTAAACTTATCCCCTACACTGGCTTAAGCGCATATTTTGTTTCTTTGATATTCCAGCTTCTATTGAGCTTTGAATAAAGAGAGCAAAATCCCTTGAAAGGGTTTCATTTTAGCAATGAAGTCAATCTATGTATAGACTATTGGATGGGAAGAGCAGGTTCTATAGCTGAAAACAAAGGTGTGTTGTTTTTCTTACTCTCATTGTGTGGGACGGTCAGATCTGACACATCGACTCGGAACACTTACGCACTTATTCAGTCTCAATATTTTATACTTGTTTGCATTGTTACCGCTAGTTCCACCTGAGTCTTGTCTATGGATAAAACCATCTCTTCATTTTTCTTTCAATTGGTTCATAGTTTGATGGGTAGCTAGAGTTTTGTTATCAATAAAATAAAGTGAGGTGTGTTGTCTTTCTCACACACATTATGTGCGAGACAGAGCCAACATGTAAAATCGGAGTGCTTGTTCAGTCTTAGTTCTTTTAAGTTTACATCGTTATGGCTTCTTCTATACAGGTCTTGTCATAAGATGAATTCATTTCTTCATTTTTCTCTCTATTGGTACAAGTTTTACTGATCTGTCTCTTGTAATAAGCGCACTCCTGTCAATTAAAGATTGTGACCTGTGCTTTGAACAGGGGTGTTGACTGAAAAATTATTTTGATCACTTTATTGCCTTGCAGGACTGAGATGTTTGAAGAAATATGTCAGTGAGAACGATTTCATATTTGAACCTCATGATTCTTTTTGAGGAGTTGAAATTAATAACAAAGTGACACAGTGGCAATCATACTAGTCATTGGATTGTGATTTTCACCCAAGAAAAGACTTTTATGTGAGAATGTTTGTACATTGGTCAATTTAGTACAGTTGTCTAAAATATTTGTATTCTTTTTTTATGATTGCAGATCAGCTCTTTGGTAAGCTTGCATCTGCTGAGCCAGGTGAAAGGAGAGGATAGAATCGGCATGCCAAAATACAAGTGTCTAATCACTTTGGATTTTATCAGGTCCATTGCAAGGTACGTGGCGACGTATTGATTATATCTGGGGCTCTTGTTTTTTCTTTGTAGTTGTTTTATATTTAACCCTTTCTGTACCAGAGGGGGTACCCACAGTTGTGCTAGTTAACCCTTTGAGCCCTGATATCCTGAGGGTACCGTGCCCCTCTGCCTGAGCTCCTGAGCGATTCAAGCCTTCATTGATAATATTATCAGAATCACATTCCATCTCCCACTCAGGGTATTCCTCTTCTTAACCAGCATCTAATTCAGAAAGATCTTCAAAGAATCAGTATTCTCCTGTGTAGTAAATCCTGTTTGTTTTCTGTGCGCAATTTGTCTCTCGCGGGCTGATTTGGGGATAGGGTCTGGCTCACCCGTGTACCGGTGACTAGGCATAATGGCAACTTTACGCACCACCAATGTACTGGTGGCTAGGGCTCTAAAGGTTAAACTCTAGCTAAAATCAGTTTGCTTACATTAAAAATACAGATTTTGTTGAAGCTTATCAAGAAACTGAATGTTTAGTTAATAGTTTACTCTTGTGATTATTACTGCTGAGGGTCAAGTTGAATTAAGTGACTGTTAAGATATCTGAGGCCTCCGTTCAGTTATCCTCTTTGCTCACTTTCCCTAGAAGACTTATAAGGACCATCGTTTTGTCTCAGTGGATCAATAAAGTTGTTCTCTGCACAACTGTAGGTCTACCGTTTAGAACAAAACTTGTCTACTCTGTAGTCAGTTTCCCAGAACTTCTTTCCTCAAAGATAAAGGAAGGAGTGGCCTAGTAAAGTTCTTGGGGTGGTAACCTGATGTCTTCCAGGACAATTGAATAATCACCTTAAATAAATTCATTAGCTGTTTGTAAGAGATGATTATGCAGTATAACGCGGATGGGTCGAACACAGAAGACTCGAAATCACACATCCGTTGAACTGTGCCTGCAGTCCCGTTTTTTTTCTTCTTATCTCTGTTTAAAAATTACGCCAAGCTTGAACACAAACATGGAATAGTCAAACTAATTACACCGCCGTAGAGATCTAAAGTCAATGTCCTTTGAGGTGTACTCGAGACAAAATAATAATAATAATTTTTTTTTTTTTAACGGAAAAAGGCAAGGCCGGTGAAATACCACCTTCCCCCCTCCACAGAAGCAGGTAGTTGTGCTGTTTTTTTAGCGCGCTGCTCAACATGCGTGCCTAGGCCCTAGGTAGGTTTGTGTGGAGTGGGTGAGATCAAAGGTTGTACATCACACGATCTATTGTTTGCCTCTAAAGTAGCAGTCTTTTTTGCTTCCCTTGGTTCTCTGACACAGCCAATGCCATAACATTGTTCACGTATACCTGGAACTACGGTTCACTCGAGCTACCGAGGCCGGTCCCGACAAATTTTGAGCTATCCGTGTTATGCTGTAGTTTCTTTAAAAATAGAAAGGGGATGTTGCATAAAAAACCCCAATAAATTTCTCTAGTTCCTGACCTATTGTATCCTGCTTTTTTGTTAAGTCATTTTAAAACTTTTATTTGACTTTGCACTTATGTATTTTAACTTAACCTCTCTCGTGAACAAAAGAGCTGACAATTATGTTCTAACGATTTTACTCTCTGATTTCTAGCAAGGGTATGACAAGAAGAAGCTTGGTGTTTGTTGTCGTAATTTATCACTCTTTCTGAAAGTTATCATAATATTCTATTATTACTCTTCTTTTATTGCAGGACTGTTCAGTTTGATGTGATGAGGTACCTGTATGACTTTTTGTGACCTGAATCGACTTCATATAGATATTACTTTCAACAAATAATGACAAGCTGCATTTGTAAGCCACCTATGTATTGTGTTCTACAGTTTTTGCTGAATTTGTTTGAAGTTGAAATTGGAATGGCATTTCGTTTGTTCAGATAATTTTTTTGCATTGTGCAAAATGTTTTTGGCATGTCATGTTTAATGTCATGAGGTTTTTAAAAATAGTTTACACTTTCTGTAAAGACAGTCGAAAGAAAATGAAAGAGGAAAATTTGTGTAAACAAAATTCAGCCGTTTTTGCTGTATTAACCTTTTCTGGACTGCAGAAGTTGGATTAAAATTTGTTTTATAGCCTGAGTATTGACACTACTCCCATTTATATCTTGTTTATAGAGCATTCAAAAAGATAAATAGAGGAGGTGAGACAGACTCTGGTGCTGTAATGTGGTGCCTTTATTCTCTGGTTTTGTTTTTTTGTTTTATATATGTAAAGTTGAGTTATGCTGTACTAATTTCTCCTCTTTAAATGTTCACTTCTGAGAAAGATCAGTTCGACTGAGATTTAGGTAGGTGCGTCAGTCAACGATGTTATTATTTTTTTCTCTCCTGTTTATGTTTTTGAAAACAAGAAGTCATTGGTTTGACCTGTTTCAGAATCTTTTTTATTCAAGTCTATGTGACAATGATGTTGATAAAAGTATGAGAGGTCATCTGCGCTTTGGTCGTACTTTTTTGTGTTTTAATTATCACTACTTCATGCATGTTGTTCTTTGCTTAATTGTTGGGCTTATGATAATAAATCTGACATGTTATCATCATTGATTTTTAGTTTGTTATGTTCTTCAAGTTATAGTTTTGAATACTATTGTTATCTCATCTGTCAACATACCACTTTGTCTGAAAAAGTCGTGAACGCGGTCAGCTGCAGGTGTTTGATGGACGATTTGATATGATGGACTCCTTCTATTCCTTTTTCGTGTTACTTTTGTCCAAATCAATTCTATGTATTATGTATTTGTTTTCTCTCAGTGACTCCTATGCACGCACTTTCAGTCAAGTGTTTATCTAGTTTAAGCATTACGCCTCTTTCAATTCAGAAAAGGCTGTCAAACAAACCTTGAATTATGTCAATGAGGTTTTGGGGGGTTTCCTTTATCATTCTAAAATTGTTCAGAAAGGCGTAACTCTAACCTTCAACAGTGGTAGGATGTATTACCCGTGAGCACAAAACTCTTCTCAACTACAACATTTTAGATGTCTGTATGTCTCGTACAAGTTTGGTTAATGTGTGGTACCTCTTTTGGAAATTATATTTTTGCTTGCTTAGAGGCTAAGGAGGAGGGTTAGTTGAGAAGTTGTATTATCTTATTTATTATTGTCCCAGTAGGTTTTACTATTGTGTCATAAGAACTTATGGTGCAAGTCTGGCAAAGCAAATTCTAGTATTGGGTAGGGAGAAGACACTGAGACTCGGTAGACTGCAGCAAGAAGTTCTGTATAATTGACCATTCTAAGAACACTCTCCGTCTTGTGGACTCTTTGTCCCTGATGAAGACAGGTGCTTAACACGCCCGTACTGGTTTTTAAAAACTATAATATAATGGGTTTCACAGATTGTGAGGGGGGGGGGGGGTCATATAGGTTTTTAACCTTATCCGTACGTTTTGTTTTACTATCGTATCCATACGACGTGGCGAACTCTGTGCTACCACTTTCCAAAGAGGAAATTTACTCGTTAATTCGATCCATGCACTTTGCATAGCAGTCTGTCAAAATGATTTTTTGAGAAGTACTAAAAGTTTCTAAGAGATCTTCGTACTAGAAGTATTCTGAAATGTGAAGAACACAGCCCCGAGGGTACAAAATGACCCCAGGGTGTATGGATACGGTTAAAGCCCCCCCCCCCCCCCCTTCCCCATCGACACACTCTCCTCCGTTGCACTAAAAAGATGTTAGTTGTTCTGTTTCTGCGTGGAATAAGTCTATGTTAATGCACATATATATTTAGTTGAGATCCTCCATCTTTCTTCTGGGGTACCATGATCCATCCATTGTGCAGTACACAATATTATAACTAAGCTCTCCGGAAACCCGTTATTATGTGCTTGTGAAAATATGGGCTGAAGGAACTATTTTTACAGAGCATGGACGGAAATGTTGTGTTGGGGGGAGGGCGGGGCGGGGGGGGGGGGGGTCTAACTTTCAACAGCTCAAGGGGATTTCTAAATGATCATGAAAATCAATAAAAGATGCACGATGAAGAAAAAGACTGTGTCTTGATGTTAGGAAAACCAAAATATACAACAAACAAAGCAGAAAAGGAGCCAAACATAACTATAAAATATTCTTCAGAATGTTGACACTTTTGAATGTTTTGGTTCCATGGTCAGTGGGTGGTTGGCGGGTGCTCTGGTGTGGTTTGCTTCTTCTTTCCTATGAAACATCTATCGTCCTTATCTCCGGTTCTTCACTTTATTGTTTTTATTACTCTCTTGTTACACCTCTAATCTTCTGGCGCTCATATGACCTTATGCAGTTGCGAGTGCCGTAAAACCTCTACTAAAACTAAACAGACAAGAAGATAGAAACAACAGAGGGAAAGAAAAGACGTGGGGGGGGGGGGGGGGGGGGGCTCTCGTGGTCAAGAGGTTATGCAGTGTTTGCCTCTCATTCAATCAATAGGTCCCGGTTTCGAAACCTGACAGCAACGGAAAATGTTCTTCTCTAAAATGTTCTCCTTTCACATCCTCTCCTCTCTTACTATATTCTGTCGTCTGCTTTCATCTCCACTTTCGACCCTCATCCCGCCTCCCCCCTTTCGCCCCCTCTGGGCTCCCGACTCTTTCTGCAGCCTTTCTACTGCTACACCTTGGCTCCTTCCTACTGCTATCTTTCAGACACATTCCTGATCTTAGGGTAGGTAAATCTATCCCCATGCCTTCTTGGAAAAGGGCGAAAAATCTCGGAAGTCCCGTGTGCAAGTTGTGCACCTTAAAGATCCCTTGGTGGTCCGAAATCGATAAGCTTAGGCTTTGGCCGCTACCCGTGCAAAATTCAAAATTAATTCCTACCAAAACTGAAAATGTTTGATGTGTCACTCTCTTGTGACCTGCTTTTTTGGGGTGCCTTGGTAGTATGGTAGTCGAAGCGGTCGAAGCAGACTTTGTGTTATTGAGACTATAGTGGTGAGCAGAGTAAGCCTGATTCCCCGTTTGGACGCCTCTGTTGACATCCTTCCGTTGGCGCTCACATGACCTTATGCAGTTGCGGGCGCCGTAAAACTAAAACTAAACTGTCTCTACTTCTTTTGTATGTTTGTCACTCTCTTGTGAACTGCTATTTCCGGGGTGCCTTGATAGTCGAAGCGGTGGAAGCAGACTTTGTGCTTTTGAGGCTTTAAAAAAAAGCCTGATTCCCCCTTTGGACGTCTCTGTTGACATCCACCCCCTGGCGCTCATATGACCTTATGCAGTTGCGAGCGCCGTTAAACCTTACTAAAACTACAAAAACAAACATCACTAACCCTATCCCGAGCCCTAACCGATAGGCCAAGACTCAGAGCCGGTAGACCTTGGTCAGACCGTCCAGTGAACTGGCACCGATTATCCTTTCTTAAACTTTGGTAGTTTTAGTTTCCTTGTTCTCTTATTTGGTTAAACAAAGTTTGTTCTTGGTTGTGTTTGTGATTAATAGTTTTTAAGGCGCTCGTAACTGCATGAGGTCTTATGAGCGCTTGGGACACAAGTTGGTTGTTTTCACGTTAGTTCATAGATCTAGTACGGCTTGGTTTTTCTTTTTAAAGTAGGAATAGTTGAAGTAGAAATATAAAGTAAAAGTTCATTAATTGTAGAATAACAGTAATTTACAGCTGGTTTAAAGTGGCTTGATTTACATCATGGAGTAAAGACCAATGGCCTTTATAATAATAATAATAATAATTATTATTATTATGATAATTATAATAGATAGCATTTGTATAGCGCAAATCCCCGCTCAACAAGCTCTATGCGCTTTACACCAGCAGACCTGATAGCATTTCAAAACAATCTCAACTTCCTGGGAAACCTACAGCGCAAGCTGCCATTTTTATTGGCCCTAAAACACCAACTTAGGCCTACTGACAAGATCTGTCGCTGTCTATGTACCCATTCTCACCTAGGTGAAGTGAGGGAGATTCGTGTAAAGTGCCTTTAATCATTTGTATAGCGCATATATATCCCCGCTCGACAGCAAGCTCTATGCGCTTTACAACTCTATATTATTATCTCAGCAGACCATAGAGCACTCAGAAACATTCTCAGCTTCCCGGGAAGCATACAGTGCAAGCAGCTGATTAAGCACCCAAACTCTAACAAACTGACAAAATCTTTCACTGTTCATAGCTCTGTCCTCATCGTTTTATGCAAGAAAAATTCCGAAGTTATGCAAACTGAGCCCAAAAATGTGAAATTGTGTGAATTAGCTGGGTACCTATTCTCACCTAGGTGAAGTGACGAAAATTCTTGTAAAATGCATTTCCCAAGGACACACCGATAATTCTGTTGGTCGTTTTGATGCGGTCTGCCCTAGGCTGCACACGGAGAAAGCCTAGGGTCTGCCCCATTCCAGTACATATATAGTAACTATGTCTCTTTTGTCCCTATTGGGCATTTCTATCAAGCCTTGAACTACAGATTCACTCGGCTAAAAAAATGGTGAAATGGTATGAGTTTAACACCCCTATCAACACTATTAGGTTATTTAAGAGGCGGGACCTCCTAATTTAACGTCCGTCTCCGATAGGACCGAGCCAAGTGGGAAGTTTGTGTAAAGTGCCTCTCCCAAGGACAACGTCGGACCGAGCTGAGGTTCGAACCCACGAACCCGCAATCTCACGATTACGAGTCCGGTAGCCTAACCACTAGGCTAGGCCTATGGTTTATCTCACCCCTTCTTTTCTTTGTCCCTTTTTTTAGTAACACCTCTAATCTTCGGCACTTTGACCTATTTTTGTTGCGAGTGTCATAAATTTCTTACTTAAATAAAACAAACAAACAAAAAAGGAAAACTTGCTCACAAGCCACAAATTTCAGATCGTCTCAGCTTAGAACTGAGGTTGAAATAATTCAGGTCACCATAAAGATTCTAACTGTGATTCCCATTTTTTTAAAACCACATGGACTTAGACGTTGTCTGCATTCCCGAGTCACCCGGGCCGTGCAGACATTTGGTGCATAGATAACACACCAGATATATGATCTTGATAACTCGAGAGGGTGCAGCAGGATTTTGAATACTGTTTGCTTGCGAGTCTGGAAATAGAATGTTTTTCCTTCCAAGTATGTCAGCACCTATGTTCGTTCCTCGTTTCTGTGTGGGCGCTCGGTGCTTATCTCAGCGTGGGCTAAAAAGAGGAGAAATGAACTGAAGAGAAACGGGTTGGGGACAAACCGCTGAGAACGAGAGATTAGATTAATGAGCGATAAATGATTCTCTAGCATGTGTTGTGTGGAGCATAGTGAGGACAGTGTTGAGACCAGGCAGTGGAGGGGGTCCGCATGCTGGGAAAACGGACAGAAGAGGCGAAAGTATATTGTGGGAGGTCGGAGGAAGGGAGAGATGAAAGGGAGGAAGGGGAGTTAAAGAAAAGG